TTGCTTAAAAATCGGGCCAATGAGGGTTGTCGGTACCAATTCACAGGAGCTGAATTCATCCTATTTCATTTAAAATGAAGAAGGACTGGTAGCTGCATTTTGCCACAATCGTTTGAATAGGCTTTATATTTCTTTTAGAGTTCACATAGCCTTGCTTCCCAAAAAGGATTATTATCCCAACTTGACTGAAGTGCGGTTCGGCCTCGCCTAAAATGGCCTTATTATCACTCCCAGCGGGAATGAAATTTTGGAAATGCAATTTATACGATGCACTAGTCAAATTCCAATAGAAAAATTCAGCCAAATCATAAAACTGTGGGAAAATGCAAATGCAAGTCTCTCATCACCTCAAATGAAATAGGGTGAATAGACAGCTCTTATATCAGATCTAGTGATGGTCTCGAAAACCAAATTATGATACGAAAAAATGACCTCATGTAAAGTGTGCATGTGCGCTGGTGTAATGCATTTGAACAGTGCCTCTCCGACATACCGGACTTTGGAGTGACACGAGGTGGGAGTTGAGCCACCTTGACGGCCAATCCGTAGGCCTCTTTGTAGGTGGTGCTGTCTCGGACTAAGAAGGAGCCTGGAGGTTTCTGTCGGAGGATGGAGATGGCTAAATTAAGGAGAGAAGAAAAGAACAACAGACTTGGATTAAACGCAATGCGAATAACTCAGGAAAGGGTTAAAGAAGGGTATGCTTTGCACAAGTCTCGAATTACTCAGAATTAATGCATCTGAATTTATTTATTTATTTATTTTTGTATATGCTCTTAGAAGCGAGGACAATTTTTACATAATTTCCAAACATGCAAATTTTACAGTTTTGCAACATTCGTTTTCCACAGCAATAAAGCCATATAGGCCATATGAAATCAAGTTTGAATGTTTTCCGTCACATATGTTGGTAAAATACCGTTCTTCTTCTCATCTCATTAATAGGCATGCCTGCTATGGACTATGATAGCAACATCGTGAATGCATTCTATTGAAGAAAAAATGTGTTTTAAAGAATTCCCTAATGGTTTATTCTGACATGAATTTACATTTCGAAGTAAAATTTGGTTGGAAG